TTTTATATTGTAATGAGCTGAAAGATTTTAATGAGAGATGTAAAAGCATGATTTTAATTTTGAGAGGAGAAGAAAATGGGAACTTTGAGTGGGAAAAGGTGTTAATGTTAGGCATTAATGAGAAATGTAAAAATAAAAAACTCATTAATTTACTAGTGATGTTGATGAAAAGTGCAGTATGGGAAAGAAGGGTGGTGGTAAAAAAGGAAAATGTTTTAATTGATGTGTGGAATGTGTTTAAGAGAAAAGTTGAGAAATATGTTGAATGCCGGTTTTATTTTTTTTTAAGTTGGAGGAATTTTTTATTATGTTTTTACTCAGGAGGTCTTAAAGGTTTTAAATGACTTGGGGATGGAATTGTCATTTTTAAAAGATTAAACCATTTAATGACTCCTTTTTTAAATGTTTGTAAGTAAGATGTCTTTAAACTCTTAATTTTAGGAGTTGTATGTCAAAGAAAGCATCTTATGTATTTTAATATGTTAAATAATTGATATGTATGTTTGAATTGATACATTTCTATAATAAAAATAAATAAATAAAAAAAGTCTGCGCCCGATCTCGTCTGATCTCGGAAGCTAAGCAGGGTCGGGCCTGGTTAGTACTTGGATGGGAGACCGCCTGGGAATACCAGGTGCGGTAAGCTTTTGTGTTTTCTTTACTACTTATCTAATACACTGGCCTTTAGGGTGGCTGATCTTTAAATAGCCCACTCTTTGTGACAGTCCTCGCTTACGGCCATACCACCCTGAGGGCGCTAGAGGGAGCTAGTGAAAAACAGGAAGTGTGTTGGCTATAGGGAGGAGAGAAAGTCTCACCCAGACTTTTGTGTTGTTTTTTTGCGTTGTTTTTGTCCAAAATAAGTATTTTGTTTTCAAGTTTTTTGTGTTATTTTTGTTATTTGTCCTCCCAACAGCTTTGCTGTTTGGGATGGATCATTTCAGTTTTGTGTTTTTTTATGGACGGATTAACGGCAACGGACATGGATTTGGCACGAGAGACAAGACGGCAAACGAAAAGTGGACTTGATAAAAGACAACGAGAAAAGGATTACCCTTAAAGGAGACGCAAACGGATCTATGCTAAGGAAGCGACGGTGGTGATTGATTTGACGGAGGTACAGGACGGGAGAGCGGAGGACATTATAAAAGCATTGACGGACAAGATTGAAGTGACCAGCATACTAGCGGTAAGACCAAAAATGATGAAACAATATGAAATTACATTGGAGAAAGAGGAAGATGTTGAGAAACTGGCAGATGGATTGATGATAAAAGGAAAGCCGTGTGAAATTAAAAAGTTGAATAATAAGGATTTTGTTGTTTCTTTCATGCATCTGCCTGCTTACCTGGAGGACGACGAGATTTTAAAAAAGCTGGAGGGATGGGGGGTAACTCCCATCTCCCAGATCTAACGGAGATTCTACCCGGGCACCCGCATAGAGGATGGAACGAAATTCGTGAGAGTACGGTTCCCGAAAGAGGTGGCTTCTCTGCCCTACAGCATGAGAATGGAGACGGAAGAGGGTCCGCAGTATTTCAAGATGGGGGGAGAAAAGAACTAAGGTCATTGATGGAAGAGAAAAATATGATTGATGTGTGGCGGGAAAGAAATGGAAAAAAGAAGGAATTTTCAAGAAGACAGTTGGTGGGAAATTTTATGTGCCAAACCAGAATAGACTATTTTTTAAGTACCAGAAATCTTGAATGTTTTATTGATGGAATATTTTACAAAGAAATGACCTTAAGCGATCACAAAATGGTTTTAATGACAATGGATTTTAAAAGAGAAATGAAGGGACCTGGGGTGTGGATTTTAAACACTGAGGTTTTAAAGTATGAAAGTTTTAAAAAAGAGATCGAAAATATGTTAGATGAGAGGAAAACAGACCAGATGTATATGGAAGACAAAAGGCAATGGTGGGAAAATGTAAAGTATGAGATTAAGAAATATTCAATAATGGTTATAAATTTGAAAAGGTGAAGGAATTGTGTAGAAATGAAGATGTGATTTTATTGCAAGAGACTAACTGGAAAAAGAATGTTATGGAGGATTTTAAAAAAAGATGGGAAGGGGAATTACTTTTCAATAACGAAGAGGAAAAAATGGGAGGAGGAGTGGCGGTTTTAATAAGAAAAGACAGAGGTATAAAGACAAAACATATATATAATGATAAAAAAGGAAAATGTATAGTGGTAGAAATTGAAATGGAAGAAGACAAATTTATTTTAGTGAACGTGCACGCTCCCAATGAAGAAAAAGAAAAGAAAATGTACTTTAATGTTTTAGCTGACGTAATTGAAAAATGGAGGAAGGTGGTGATCGCAGGGGATTTTAACACTGTTTTTAGTAAAATGGATATGGCAAACGGGATGGTTTTTAAATCAGATGGGGGGAGAAAAGAACTAAGGTCATTGATGGAAGAGAAAAATATGATTGATGTGTGGCGGGAAAGAAATGGAAAAAAGAAGGAATTTTCAAGAAGACAGTTGGTGGGAAATTTTATGTGCCAAACCAGAATAGACTATTTTTTAAGTACCAGAAATCTTGAATGTTTTATTGATGGAATATTTTACAAAGAAACGACCTTAAGCGATCACAAAATGGTTTTAATGACAATGGATTTTAAAAGAGAAACGAAGGGACCTGGGGTGTGGATTTTAAACACTGAGGTTTTAAAGTATGAAAGTTTTAAAAAAGAGATCGAAAATATATTAGATGAGAGGAAAACAGACCAGATGTATATGGAAGACAAAAGGCAATGGTGGGAAAATGTAAAGTATGAGATTAAGAAATATTCAATAAACTACTGTAATTTGTTACAAAAGGTTAAAAGAACTAAGGAGAAAGAAATAAGGAGAACTCTAAAAGAGGAGTTAAATAAAAATGAAGTAAATGTGCAAAAAGTAATCGAAATAGAAAATACGTTGGGAAAAGTAGAAGAGGAGAAATGCAAGGGGGCCATGTTAAGAAGCAAAGCAAAATACACGGTGAAAGGAGAAAAATGTAACCGATTTTTTTTTAATCTTGAGAAAAGCAGGGGAGAGCGGAAACAATTAAAGAACTTAAAAGTGGGGATGGACAGGTGGTTTCAGATACAGAGGGGATTATAAAAGAAGTGAAATCATTTTATGAGGAACTTTTTAAGTCAGAGGGAGGAGATGAGGAAAAAAGGAACATTTTGTTGCAACAGATAAGAAGGAAAGTTGGTGAGGAGGATAAAAAGGATTGTGAAAGGGAAATAACAACAGAAGAGATCACACAAGCCATAAATCAATTAAGAGTGAGGAAAAGCCCTGGGGTTGATGGTATTGGAAGTGAGTTTTACAAAGTTTTGAAAGAAAAGGTAAGCGTGATTTTAAATGAAATTTTTGAAGAAGTTTTAAAAAAAGAAAGAGTACACCCAAGAATGGGGCTAGGATTAATGAAAATAATATACAAGAAAAAAGGAGACAAAACTGAGCTGAAGAATTTTAGACCTATTACAATGCTAAACACTGATTTTAAAATTTTAGCCAAGGTTTTAGCGAACAGGTTGAAAAATGTCATGCCAAGTATAATAGAAACCAACCAAGCGTATGGAGTAAAGGGGAGGGATATAGCAGATGTTACTAGCAGCATAAGAGATATAGTGGGGTATATAAAAGAAAAGGAAAAAAGTGCATACATTATAAGTATGGACTTCGAAAAGGCTTTTGACAGAGTGGAACATGGGTTTTTATTTGCGGTTTTAAAGGAATTTGGGTTTGGGGGTAATTTTATCAAATGGATTTCAGTTTCATACAGGGATATTTTAACAAAAGTAAAATGCAACGTTTTTTTAACTCAACCTTTTAAAGTTTTAAGATCCATAAGACAGGGGTGTCCGTTGTCGGCGCAGTTGTACTCTTTGGTGGCAGAACCTTTAGGGCTTTTAATAAATGGAGAAAAAAGAATAAAGGGAATACAAATGGAAGAGGGAGAAGAATTAATGAAAATATTTCAATATGCCGACGACACGACAATTGTGGTTGAAAACATAGAAAGTGTTAAAAGATTGATGGAGAAAACGAAATTGTATTGTGAGGGTTCGGGTGCAAAAATAAATGAAGAAAAAACAGTATACATGAAGTTTGGAAGGGCGGAGGTTCTAACAGGGATCTTTAAGTTTATGGAGGTGCAAGAAATTAAGATTTTAGGAGCAATTTTAGCAAAGAACGAAAAGGGGGCCATGGACAGTAGGTGGGAAGAGATGGTGGGAGGGATGGAAAGAAGACTGATTTTTTGGAGAAGCAGGTTTTTAAGTTTAAAGGGGAAAATGTTAGTTGTAAACATGCTAATGTTATCTAAAATGAGGTATATTTTGCATGTGATGCCATTGCCAGACTGCGTTTTTAGGAGAATAAAGAAAAGTGTTTTAGAATTTTTATGGGACAAAAAGCCTCCAAGAATTGCATATTTTACACTGATAGGGAAACCGGAGGAGGGAGGGATGGGTTTGGTGGACGTAGAACAGAAAATTAAAAGCATGAGGGTAAAGATGGTAAGAAAATATAAGATGGGGGATTTTTATGGAATTTTTACAAACGATGTTACATATATTTTTAAACAAAAGCACTTTGATATGCCGAGAGAAGATGAATGAATTTGTGGTTTTAGTTGTTCTTGGTTAGATTTAATGTTATGCATGTTTTGAAAAGATGCTTTTCTGATGTGCATTTGATGAATATTTCCCCTGTAACAGCTTTAATGTATTTTGAATATGTACAAATAAAAAAAAAACAAACAAAAAAAAAGGGCGCTAGAGAGTCGCACTACACAGGAAGTGTGTTGGCTGCAGTAGGGAGAGGAAGGCTCTCCCACATCTCTGTTTGTTTAGGAGTTTTTGTATATTTGTTATTTGGACTTTTTAGTTTGTTTTTTTGGTGTTTAAACCACCTAACAGCTTAGTGCTGTCTGGAAGGTCTTTTTTTTTTGTTTTGTTCATTTTTTTCTTTTTTTGGACGGACCCACAGTTAAAGACTTGGAAATGGCTGGAGAGACAGGAAAGGAAAACAACAATGGACTGGATTACCGACAACGAGCTGGAAACAGAAAGGATGGAGAAATGAGGAAAAGTCTGGGGGAAAGGAAATATTTAAAAGAGGCAACTGTGATTGTGGAAGTGGATAAAGTGAATGGAGTAAGAGCAGAGGATGTAATCAAAGCAGTATCAGAGAGGATTGGAGGAGGGAAAATTTTGGCGGTGAGATCGAGACAAGGAAAAGAATGCGAAGTAACATTGGAGAAGGAGGAAACGTGTGAGGAACTGATGGATGGACTGACAATAAAAGGAACTAACTGCGAGATAAAAAAAATGCAAAACAGAGAATATGTTGTTTCTTTTATGCATTTGCCCGTCTACCTGGAAGATGAACACATTTTAGAGAAATTGGAGGGTTGGGGGGTTTTCCCCATTTCAAAAATCGAAAGGAGGCTTTACACGGGCACTGATATTGAAGATGGCACAAGGTATGTCAAAGTGAGGTTCCCCAGAGAGGTGGTGTCCCTCCCGTACAGCACGAAGATGGAGACAGCAGAAGGGCAGCAGTATTGCAGGGTGATGCACAGCTGCCAGGTGAAAACCTGTAGGTTGTGCATGAGCCCCAAGCATCTGCTGAAAGATTGCCCAGATTTTAAATGTTATAAGTGCGGGGAAAAGGGACACTTTGCACGGGACTGCAATACTGTCAAGTGCCCGGACTGCCATGAGTTTTTAATTAGATGTGAGTTTTCAAAAGCTTACGAGAGTGTGCTGAACTCGTAGTTCTCTAAATGAATATAGAGCAGAACGATGTTGTCGCTCGGCTCCGAAGCGAAAAGCTGGTATGCATTGCACCTGCTGCCTTATTATACTCACGCTGTGATCAGCGGCAGCTGGATGCAATAATTGCATGCCAATGTGCATTGGCTCGTTTAGTTTACACTCGAAGTAGATTGGTCTATCGAAGCGATATCCCAATTCATCGGTCACCGACGTGACTCGGAGTGACCGACTGAAAGGGAACAGATCCTCATAGAAATTATTTATTTCTTTTAAAATCTTTTCATTCCCTTCTACAATTTTCCCATTTTTCCCTCTTATTTCTTATCATTCCAGCTTTTCCTCTCCCTTTTTCCAGATAAAAAAAAAACTTTGTACATTTTTCTCCCTCTACCACATATTTTGCTTTGCTTCTTAACCTCGACCCCTCATATTCTTTTTCTTCTATTTCTTTGTTTCTTAACCTCGCCCCCTCATATTCTTTTTCTTCTATTTCTTTGTTTTCCCTCCACTTCCTTTTAGAAGTAATATGTGATGGACGTGAACTGATTTTAGTGAATGTACATGCGCCAACAGAGGAGAAAGAAAATAAATAATTTTTTAATGTTTTAAGAAATATCGTGAAGAAATATAGAGAAATAATAATGATGGGGGATTTTAATACTGTTTTCAGTAAGCAGGATATGGCAGAAGGAATGGTTTTTAAATCGGACGCAGGGAGAAAAGAATTAAAGGAATTGATGAGTGAAAATAACTTAATAGATGTGTGGAGAGAAATTAATGTTGGAAAAAAGGAGTTTTCAAGAAGGCAAATAGTGGGACATTTTATATGTAAAACAAGAATTGATTATGTGTTGTGTGCAATAACACACATTTGGGGAATTTTATTGAAAATATCAGATATGAAGAAACCAGTTTTAGTGATCATAAGGTTTTACGTTTTAAAATAGATTGGAGTAATATGCAAAGGGAACCGGAAGTATGGATCTTAAATACAGAGATTTTAAAGAATGAAGACTATGTTTCAAAGGTTAAAGAGATTATGGAAAAGGAAAAGGAAAATGAAATGTATGATGAGGATAAGAGAATATGGTGGGAGAACGTAGAGTTTTTAATGAAACAATTTTCGATGAAGTATTGTAGTATTATGCGGCAATGCAGAATATTCAAAGAAAGAGAAATAAAGGAAAGCTTGGAAATGGAACTGAATAAATAAAAAGACATACAAAAGATAAAGGAAGTGGAGGGAAAACTGAAAGAAATAGAAGAAAAAGATCGCCTCGATGACAGATATTTGTAGGGCTGCGGGCTGGGCGACGCCCAACATGTTCGCTAGATTCTATAGCCTCCGTGTGGAGCCGGTATCCTCCTGTGTTCTCACCTCAAACGGGTAGTGGCGCCGAGAGGCCCCAGTTAGTGTCGGCTTGCTAAAACAGCTCCAGAGTGTCCTACAGTAGACCCTGCTGAGATCCTCCGTCACCCTCGGCAGCGGACGCGGCGGAACGTCCAGTGCCAGGCCTTCACGATGAATCCACGGGAACCGTGGAAGGCTGGGTTCCATATTGAAACCTAAGCGGTTCTCGTATGTGTATAGTCCACGGTATAGCCATAGAGCCCGTGTTTCCCCGGCAGACCTCTGCCTTTCCAAGAGGGTTACAAATCACCTCCAGTTCTCCATATACACCTAAACGGATGCTATATGTGTATTTGCTTCCGAAAACTCCTTCGGGAAGGATGGGGCTTCCGCAGCGTCCCTGTTGCAAGTGGAGAGGGTACGTTTTCCCAGTGTTATCGAATCTCACTCAGTAAGGTAGTGCTTTGAAAAATGGTGAGTGGAACTAGTGCAAGGGCTGTGGAAAAGAAGGAAAAAAAGAAACTGTTGAATCAGATAACTGCAAAAGTAAGTGAGGAAGATAAAAAAAGAATGTGACCAAGAAATCAGAGAAGAAGAGATTGAACGAGCAATAAATCAACTGAATAAAAAGAAGAGTCCAGGAATAGATGGTTTGGGAACTGAATTTTATGTATGTTTTAAAGGAGTTTTAACAAAGATTTTAAATGAGGTTTTTAATTACAGTTTTGAAAAAGAAGAAATTAACGAAAGAACGAGGATAGGGTTAATGAAACTGGTATATAAAAGGAAGGGGGAAATGGTAGATTTAAACTATAGGCCAATCACAATGTTGAACATGGATCTTAAGATTTTAGCGAAGGTTTTAGCAAACAGATTAAGGAAGTTATGCCAAGTATAATTGAAACAAATCAAGCATACGGAGTAAAAGGAAGAGATATAGCTGACATACAAATGAGCATAAGAGACACAATATGGTATATGAAGGATAAAAGTGAAGATGGTTATGTAATTAGCCTGGACTTTGAAAAAGCTTTTGATAGGGTGGAACACGGGTATTTATTGGAGGTTTTAATGAGTTTTGGTTTTGGGGAGAATTTTATCAAATGGATTGAGATTTTATATAATGGTGCATTAACAAGGATAAAATGTAATGGGTTTTTAACAGACTGTTTTAAAATCACAAGATCAATTAGGCAGGGTTGTCCGCTTTCAGCTTTACTCTATTCGCTTGTATCGGAACCTTTGGGATTGGCTATAAAACAAAAAGAAGAAATAATAGGGATAAAAATTGAAGAAAACAATGCTGAAGGGAAGGTTTTTCAATATGCCGATGACACAACGATAATTGTAAAAGGAAAAGATAGTGTCAAAGAAGTTATGAATGTTGTAAAAGATTTTTGTAAAGGATCTGGAAGTAAAATAAATGAGGAGAAAACAGTATATATGAGATTTGGTAAAGCTGTGGTTTTAATGGATTGATTTAACTTCAAGGAAGTGGAACAAATTAAGATTTTAGGAATTTTAATAGGGAAAAACGAGAGGAAAGTAAGAGATGAAATGTGGGAGGAACTAGTAACAGATATAGAGAGAAGGTTACATTTTTGGAAATTGAGAACATTAAACCTGAAGGGGAAGGTTTTAATATTGAATGTTTTAATGGTTTCTAATCTTTGGTATGTTTTATATGTATCTGAGATGCCTTTGTGGGCAGAAAAGAGGTTGAAGAAATGTTTTCTTGACTTTTTATGGGAGGGAAAGCCAGCAAGAATAGCGTATAACACGATTTTAGGGACGGTAGAGAAGGGAGGCTTAGGTTTAATGGATGTGGAACAGAGAAAAAATGGTATGAGAGTAAAAATAGTGAAGAAGTACCTACAAAAAGAGAGCAAAACTGAATGGAAAAAAACGATGAAATACTTTTTAAACAAATGTGGGAATTTTAAAATGGGGGATGGAATTTTATGGATGAAAACAAAAATTTGGATGACGGAAGGATTACCTGAGTTTTATAGAGAAATTTTTAGTGCCTGGGGAAAATTTTTAACGAAAATTGCATACAATCCACAAGGGAGAGAAAACAATCAACCTCTGTTCTTAAATAACAACATTTTAAAACAAGAGAAAGAAATATTTTTTTAAGAAATGGATGGAAGTGGGGATAACAAGAGTGAGAGATGTCTTGTATGAATTTAAAGATGGGTTTTTACTGCTACAATATGTTGTGGATGCGATGGACGAAGCAAAAGAAGAATACAGTAAGCAAGAAATAACAAACAAATATGAAATCATTAAAAATGCAATACCCAAAGAGTGGATTAAAAGAATAGAGAATAGAGAGTAAGAGCAAACAGAGGAAAATATTTATGTGAAACTGGCGGAAAAATTGTATGATTTTAAAAGTTAAAAGATGAAAATGTTTTATTGTGTTTTTAGAGATGGTGTATTTAAAGAGCCGATTGTAAAAAAGTACTGGATGGAAAAATTCAACTATCTAAAAGAAGAATGTATATGGAGAAACATGAGGGGGAGGTGTGTGGAAACAAAGTTGGACTGTTTGGAGTATTTTATAAGACATAAAGTGGTTTTTACTGAGACTATTTTAAGTAAAATAGGAATGGAACAACATGCGATATGTAAAGTGTGCCAGGAAAAAGAAGAGGGGATTTTACATCTGTTTTTATATTGTAAGGAATTGGAGGAATGTTTAAAGAAATGTAAATGTTTAGTTAAAGATTTGACTGGGGAGTGGGATGAAAATGGAATGGAATGGAACAGAGTGGTGATGTTTGGATGGGAAAAGAAGTGTCAAAACAAGGCCTTTATTAATCTGTGTGTAATGCTTATGAAAAGTGCGATATGGGAGAGAAGAACTGTGGCTAAAAAGCAAAAAATTGTTTTGGATATTTGGACTGTTTGTAAAAGGAAAACAGAAGTATACATGGAAAGGCTGTATATGTATTTTAAAAGTGAAAATATGTTGGATGCATTTTATGTCGTTTTTACACCAAATGTTTATTGTGTTTTAAAAGATTTAATGTGGAAGCTTCCGGGGAGCGAAGGATTCTTCTAAATTATGTATGTAAATCTAGAACATGTGATGTAGAGACTGTTTAAGAGAAACTGTATTTTTTTGAATGAAAAAAAAAAAGTCTGCGCCTGATCTCGGAAGCTAAGCAGGGTCGGGCCTGGTTAGTACTTGGATGGGAGACCGCCTGGGAATACCAGGTGCTGTAAGCTTTAACATTTTCTTCACTACTGTAGGGATTTCTATCCATAACAGACACTGATATACCATGGAATCAACCAGCATGAGATCTAAACTAATCACCCCAGCACATGATTCCAATATTCTGGGTCGACTTCCTGCCAGTCTTGTCGTCATCTACTCAGAGGAGTGATTAAAGATTAATCCAATCAAGAGATAACACAGAGATCTTTTGTATCAAAACCATGAATTCTAGATACCTCGTGAGGTCTTGTGACCACCAATGAATGTAACTATTATATCCAAACAGGGAAAAGGAGTAAGTTAATCACACCCTCAGGCTTGCAGAACAACAAACCTAAAGAACAGTGATAACATGATTCAATCTATACATCGTGACGCCACATGACTTTTTGAACATCTGCTTCCTGAAACCCCAACGGACCC